ACACACACACACACACACACACCCGCCGACTGACCCTCTCATCCACCCACCGTCTCATCACAACGTTATTTATCCACTCACTCCCAAACCGAACGCATGCGCGCACGCGCGGGCGTGTGTGTGTGTAATCAAACCGCGCGGACAGTGTAATGAGCAACCACCCTCCTATCCCAGGCCGTTCAATTACAGAGCGGCCCGCCCCCAGCCCTCACCGCACCGTGTGCTGTAATTATTGTGGTTATCCCCCTTCCTTCGTTGATAACTCGCCGCTGTGGCGCCGGTCGTGTTTCTATTTTCATGATTACGCCCCTTTGTTTGAAGGGGCCAGACTAGCTTGGCGTCAGTTGTTTTTTGTTTTGTTGGGTGAGTCGGGGTTTTTTGTTGTTGTTGTTTTGTTTTTTTACATTTTATGTAGGTGCTTTTTTTGTTGTTGTTCTTGTCTGCCGATGCATTAGTCTTTCTCTCTGTACCTCTCTCTATCTCTGTCTCTCTTTTACTCTCTGTTGCTCTTTATTTCAGTCTGTCTGTCTGTCTCTCTGACTTTCTGTCTTTCTCTCTTTATCACTCCCTGTCGGTCTTTCTCTCTGTCTCTTTCTTTCAATATCTCTCATTGTCTGTTTCACTTTCTCTCTTTCACCCCCTCTCTCACCCCCCTCTCTCCCTCTCTCCCCTCTCCTCTCTCTGTCTCTCTCTGTCTCTCTCTTTATCTCTCCCCCCCCTCCTCTCTCTCTCTCTCTCTCTCTCTCTCTCTAGATATATATATCACTGTCCCACAAACACACACCCACCGACACCCTCACTCTCACTCCCCAAGTGGCAGTCGCTGAAAAGCGTTGTGGCATCTGTTACTTATTTTCTTTCTTTCACTCTGTCGTGTCTGTCAGTTGGTCTGTCTTACTTTCTCCTCGCTCTAAATAACCGTTAAATGTCCATGTGTTTCCTTAATTGAAAATATGGGTGGTTGGCCGGTACTTTGGTGTGGTCTACTCCTTTCCTACCAAACATCTGTCGTCCTTATCCCCCCCCCTTTTTTTTCTTTCTTGCGTTTGATTGGCGGGTGCTCTGATGTGTTTTTCTCCTTTTTTCCTATCAAACATTTATCGTCTTTATCTCTCCTCCTTTTTTGTGTATGTTACTCTCTTGTAACACCTCTATTCTTCGGCACTTATGTGACCTTTATTGTGTTGCAACTGACGTAAAACTCGTACTATAACAAAGTTTTCTTTCTGTGTTTGTTACTCTCTAGTAACACCTTTAAATTCGGTACTTATATTACCTGTTTGTGGGTGGTTGGCGGGTTCTCTGGTGTGGTTTGCTTCTTTCTTATCAAACCTCTATCGTCCTTATCTCCCCTTCTTATTTTTTATGTTTGTTACTCTCTTGTAACAGCTCTAATCTTCTGGCGCTCAAATGACCTTATGCAGTTGCCAGCTCTGTAAAACCTCTACTAAAACTAAACTGACCTGTTGTGTTGCAATCTTGTCGTGGGTAGTTGGAAGGCACCACTGGTAGGTCCAGATTCTGTCCGTCCCTCGTGTTGTTTCAGTCTATATTTCTTGCTTCTTCCCTGCACGCTATAAGACCGCCATTGTGTCGATGTGCTTCTTTTTACTGTAACAACCCCCCCCCCCACGTAATTCCCGTAAAACTCTTACTATAATAAATAAACTAAACTGGAACTCGGGTGGACGGAACAGCCTGACGTGACCAAAACGTATCGATAACACCGTTAAACAAATTGTAACTACCAACAGAAGCGTGTGTCGTTAATCGTACCTGTCATCTGCTGTACGTATGTGCGAATGGGGCAGCATTCGAGCTGGTTTGAGGGCGCTACTGCTAGTTACTTCTTTCTTTCTTTTCTCTCTCTCTCTCTCTCTCTCTCTCTCTCTCTCTCTCTCTCACTGTCTCTCTCTGTCTCTGTCTCCCTCTCTGTCTCTCTCTCTCTGTCTCTCTGTATTTTTATCAGTTTA